CGCCCAAACTCCTGAGTTAAACATAATCAAATCGGATCATACGATCTATTGGTTAAAGTCTTTGTTTTGTTAAAATGAATGATAAATTTTCTGCTTATGACATACGTTGAGTAACCAGTCGTGTCTGGAAACTCATACATTTAACAACAGACTGAAAGATTTCGAGACTTCATTTAAATCAATTGCATGACGAGGACGTAACCACATTGATATAGGTGGCAATGGTCGTTGCGTGTAGAAAATATGCTATCATTACAGAATTGTATAACCTGGATATTTTACCAACATTGGGATCGCTACTGTGAAAGAGCGATCTGTGGGGGGGCGGCAAGGCGTGGGGGGGTTTACCAACAAGGGAAAAGGCAAGATTTTCGTGTTTAAAATGAATCTGTTAAGGAACACGAGCGAAATGGCTGTACTGTTGTAGGTTTTCCTAGATATTACTGTTCTTGGGGCTAAATACGCGACTGAAAAAACTAAACTGACAGGAATTATTTTGTACTGATGTGATCAGTTATGATAGATTTAATTTTGTATTACCCTGATTACATTGCAAATCTAGTTAAATAACGTTTGGATACATTGCTCTCTAATAAGCTTGTAAAACTCAAAACAAATTGAGTATTCGTCTTCAAGTCGACGTGAGAATGAATCAGCTTGCATTTGCTCGAAAATGTAATTAAAATCATTCACAATAGCAGACCTGTGACTACACTTGTCATAACAACCTTATAAACTTGTAAACACTGGATACTAAAAATATCGCTAGACTTGTAAGTCAAATCATGTGGAGGCATTCAGCTTATTTATCGGTAAGGTAAATTTCTCATGATATCAGTTTTCTCCATTAGCCTTGAGCTCAATTATCGAGTAGATAGCCATAAAAGATCAGGAATATTACTAATTTAAACCGTTAAAGAATTAAGAAATATAAGTTTATGAGTTTACAGTTTACAATTTCCGTTTTCTTTCGGAGTAATCTAGCGTGACCTATTTAAATTCATGCCCGAGTAAGCGATCTGTGGTCGTTGGACTCCCGTCGTCACAGGCTTAATTTAAAATTTTGGATATCTCAATTTGGTGTCGTTTCACTTGATCGTTTGGTTTGGAAGTCTTCTCTACAGGGAAGGTACTCTTCACCTGTTTCATACCATTTTTCTTTAGTGATAAGCTTGTCGTCCGCCTACCAAAAAGCAAAGACGATCAGGGTTAAGAGAGTTTGTTTATTACCTGAAAGGTTTGCTGACACAAGTTTAGCCATGAAAGAGCCTTGCATTTCAAATTTATTAGACGCAATATGAGATTTCGATGTCTAAAATTTAGTCTTAGTTAATAGACTTAGTGATTCCGTGGTCATCTGTGATAACTACGAGAGATAAAATTAAGAGAGTCGAGCTTACAATAAGCCATTAGTCGTTACATCAGGAGGGTTTAGGTAAGAAGTTAAGCTGTTTCCGGCGCTGATTGTTTTCCTTAAATGTCTACATCAAAAGGAATTCATTTGAAATTTTTATAAGTAGAGGCTTTATTTAGAATGGCAAACGATAGAAGCTTAGACACGAATTACTGGAGTTAGATATTGTTATTTCCCGGAAACCGGAAGTATCATGAACGCGTCCTTTTATTTACATCCAGCCGATATACTAAGTATTTAGCCGAGCCAAAATGTAGGGACTTTTATCACAAATTACTGCAGATAAACTGTTGCCAACAACCTTTTCGCAAACGATCTTTTAAGCCACATTGTAGCTATAGTTTCTCTACATAAATTCGCGAGCCTCTACAGATTCTTCTTGAATATATTCACTGTTGAAAGAAAAGCATTCAGTATTCGTTTTAAAGCCCCGTTTCACCCAGGAAAATAAATGGGTACCAATAACACTCTCAGGGACTAGCTTTTTTATGTGCAGGGTGATTTTCTGAGATGGACTTGAGTCCTGTCCACATGGAGTAGCAATATACTAACTCGACACTTTATGCTATATGGAAACTGTGATAAACTCTAGCGGTAATCTAAGCGAGTTTCGCTTGTAAAATATTGTGTTTTGACAGCTAACATGGAATAACCAGCCTCAAAAAGTATACGTGGATCAAATAAAGCTGAGTTGTATTCATACCGCTTCTCTTGCAGGAAATTTTTCAACTAGCCTAGGGATTCTATTAGCTATGAGAATCTCCACTGTTTGTCAAGGATGGCATGTTTGCAATTCGATCTTACAATTCTCGTCCTCATCCAAGTTATGATAATACACTTATTTCCAAAACACATGTCCCAAGCAACAGTCATCAATAACTGTACAAGTTTTGTCAATCCAATTGACGCCTGTAACAAAATCACCTACGAACAAGTTTACAACATCTTGGCGAAATCAGAAAACAGTTTCAACATCGAGTCGGCTCTTTATCCACCCAAGAGACCTTCTTCAGTGCGTGTATTTGTAAATGTCTCTGGCCCCAACAAAACGGAAAATTCAACTCCTGCTGCTAAGTACACGTGGAGTATTTCTTGCCTGTACGCTGCTCTTCCTGCCAAAGTTCTTGAATTTTGGTCTTTATGGTCAATCATGGTGACCAGTCGAACACAGGAGCTTAACATAACAATTTCACTTTCCTGCTGTGATGTGACGAAAGGGAAACTAAAAAAACACATCGAAGACGCTCTAGCTTCTGTAAGTACTTTGACCAATTTAGATTATGTACCGAAATAGCAAAAATATTCTAATTGAACATTAAAAACCAATCAGGAAAAAACATTGCACTCTAAACCTTGTAAACATCTGCTCCGGAAAGAATTGAAAGTAGAGTTGTTACTTCAGTCACCATAACTTCATCCGTGGAACTGAAAATGTTAGTACCCTTTGGAAAATGAAAATCTGGAAATGTACGCTTTTGGACCACATTCCCACCCCTCTCCACTGCCCTCATCTAAATTTGTTAATTAACATCTTTGTTCCAATCTCTTTTACAAACTGGAAGTCACTCAAATGAACGCAAATATCAAAAATTGAAAAACGGCAAAAAGAATTGTCCTTGAAGTCCATGAACAGAAACGCAACGATTCTCTAAAGTGAAGATAAAATTTTCTTGCCTTTCCATCTTTGCGGAGCGTGTGATTCATATTTCCTTTATTCGAGTTATTTTGCAAACTGTGCCAGAGTCAGGGAGATTCTTGTCTTTTCCCAGACACCTACGGCTTATTCGGGAGAAGAGTTGGCATGTATGCTGGGCATGTACACTGCTATTATGACCAAGGACCCATGACTTGATACTGGTCATACCAAAAGGGATTCATTGTTCTATTTTACATATTTTTCAAAACCTTCCAATGCCCCATAGCTCAACTTCACTTCTTTTTCGCTTACTCGTTTAGAATCATCTTTTTGGTTGATTTAACTTAGTTCTGTCTTATGTTTCATAGCTTCAAGATCTGGCTGTCAGTCCAGCAATAAGGGACCCCCAACTGAATTCTGCTGAATGTATCACAGAGGGACATCAACCAAATATTTCTTCTGTTACAGAACATAGTCGGCGAATAATATTCATTTTAGTCCTCTCTTTTCTCTGTTCAATAGTGTTTGGGCCATTGTTGGCCTTTACAACAACGAAAAAACGGGGCGAGCTCGAAGAAGAGGAGAAAAATACGATAGATTTCCTTTGTAAGGGTTTGTTGTTAGTACTTGTTGGCCTATACATAGCAAAAATGGTAACAGTCCATACAAGTAGCAGCGATGAGAAAATTGTTCCTTATTACATGAATTGTATTGTTAACGCGATACAACCAGTCATTATGGTTGTTGGGATTATTGTCTTTGGGGTGACATTTTATCTCTATGGGGGAAAACAGAGAAGACAAGAAGGACAACAAGAAGGACAACAAGAAGGACAACAAGAAGGACAACAAGAAGGACAACAAGAAGGACAACAAGAAGGACAACAAGAAGGACAACAAGAAGGACAACAAGAAGGACAACAAGAAGGGCAACAAGGAGGGCAACAAGGAGGGCAACAAGGAGGGCAACAAGGAGGGCAACAAGAAGGACAACAAGAAGGACATCCAAGGGAGGAAATTGTAGAGAAGAAGTCATTCCTTTTCATAATTTGTGCTAATTTAGCAACCTACCATTTTTGTTGGCTCTTAGTCGGTATAATGCTGAATCCTATCTGGGGTCTTGTTGTTCTGCTCCTACTTTGCCTTGCTATTGGTGTCTCATCCTTTGCATTTTATACCTACAAGTCTTCAATTACTCCTGAAAACGACTGCTGCAACACACAATGTCAGATATTGTCCTCAAGTGTTGCTGGGTTCCTAGCTGTCTGTGGTCTTATTGCTGTTGTAGTTCTAGCTGGGCAGTCATACAATGGAAGACAAACTGCTGATGAAGCTTTGAAAGAAGCAGTGATGTATTTAATCTCTATCTCCTTCTCATGGCTCTATTGGAAGAGGTGGGTTAATAAAAGTAAGAAATCTGCTGAAAATGGTCATGCTTCAGAGGACAGTGAAATAGAAATGGAACCACTTTTGAATCAAGATGTTTGAAACATTACAGTGTAAACTTGGATCTGCTGATCGTGAAAGGGGTCATCAGGCAGCTGAACAAGAGTAACATAAATGCAAACACTTGTGTCTTAAGATGCTCCAATCATTTCACTGTAAACTTGCATATTAATGTGTATGTAAACCAATGGAAAAATGTTTTCTGGACTCACCCTAAGCATCTGAGTAATAATTAACCCTTCATTAATTGCTCATTTTCTGGTAAATTAGTGAAGAGTATTTGGTATTGTATCAAAATAGCGGCTGGTCTTGCGACTAAACTTATCTTTTCCTTTTTTCCTAAATGCTGGATAATGTAATGATATTGTAAGGTGAAGTTATTCCTTAGTCACAAATTTTACAAGCTGTTTAACAGTTCATGGTAATGATATAATTAAGTAAGATCCTAATCATTATACACCTAACTATTTGAAGAAGTAAAGTACTGTTTATTAAAATTATAATCTCAGTTATTATCTTGTGCTAAAACAGGTTTGAATAACAAACCTTAGCAGCCTATTATATAAATTTAACAAGCCTTAGTTTGCATAACTTTGTACTGATGAAGCCCTAACTAGCAAAATGTTTACCACCAAAGTATATAATATTTGTGCTTTTCGAAGTCTATAATTTTTTTATTCTCATACACAAGTTTGGATTTATTTACATCTACAATGTAGCACTGTAGTTCTAGATGCATTTTATATAAATTCATTACTTGGAAAACTTTTTAAGTCTACATTAAAAACAGTTAGTAATATGTATGCATAGAGGATAATTGGCCAACTTGTAAACAGTGCTTTCATTCAGATTTGAGGTTACATAGGTGGCTGTCCCTACATGGCACCTTTAAGAAGCTAAAATTATTCTGGTTTAAAAATGGAAAAAGTTTGTCATATCTGGTGGTCTGCAATGGAACACAGATGAACTCTGCCTCAACATCCTGATCCTAAGTGAAGACAAGTGGGTAATACTAGGGGGGGTCCATCAGTTTATAAAACATCTCCTTTTAAGTATTGTGTCAATTTTATTTTTTCTCTAGCAAATTAAAGCTGTCAAGACTTTTTTAGGTATTTTGCTACACAACTGATCTTGCAAGAGCTCTCACATACACCAAGTCTTACTGAAAGCACTGCCAAATACAAAGACCTCAAGTTGTACCACTTTTGAGAACCCTATCCTATACAATGTATTAAATAATTAATCTTGTAGCAGTATGATATTACTACAACATTTGACTTAATAAATAAATTCAGACTTTTCAACATGTTTCTAATAACCCTCATTGGAGAAGGTAATACTTTCATAATCTGGGTAAGCTTTTTTAAGTTTCTTGACTGTGATGGAGTGATCAGCTCTACCAAACCCCTAGAAAATAAAACATAAATATTTCAGAAAGTCAGTCATAACAGAGAAAACCATGTGTCACTAATAATTACTTATTACCAACAGACTGACATATGCTTGCCTAAAGGTCAGTGTATTGAGGAGTCTGGGTTAAATTCCTGCCCAAGCCATAGTATAGTGTTCCTTAACAGATTGCTTCACTCTCACAAGTCCTCTCTCCACCCAGGAACAACATGTCAAGAATCGAGGGGTAAGTTTCTAAAGAAACTGTGGTGCTGCGTCGGTGGGAGAATATAGCAGGTAATTTAGTGTTAACAACTGGGTTGAAAACATAAATTAAGGACAAGTTTTTTTTTTCATTCATAACGTAGAGAAAATATCGGGACCCAAAAGATCCATTAAGATCATTGATCACTTTACATGTACCTCCGCCAATGTTATTTACTGCATAACTTGCACTTATTGCAATAAGTTATACATCGGTGAAACAGGAAGACGACTGGGTGACCAATTCTGAGAACACCTTCACGATGTGGAAAGAAATGACAAGGACGCATCCAAACCAGTGGCTAGACACTTTAATCTTCCTAATCATTCTAAACAGCATATGGCAGTTTGCAGCCTTTCCTTACATCTAGGCAGTTCGGAAAGCCATAAAACACCAGAACAAAAATATAAATTCCAAATCAACACCCTTAATCCCCATGGAATCAACAAGCGCTTTTCATTCAACTAATTTATTCCTGTTTTCTGGTCACCATATTCCCACCAATGGCGTAGCTCCACTTTCTGCATATAAATCCACACACAACCCACAATTCCTCTAATCGCTCTGACGAAGGGCTAATGCTCGAAATGTGAGCTTTTTTACCCTTTACGGTGGCTAATTTACGTTTTCAACCCAGTTGTTAACACTAAATTACATGTCAAGAATAGGTTCTGACAAACTTCATTCAGGCCTTAACTCTTTCCACACCAACATTGGTATGCATTTTCTCCATACTGTTAGCTATATGTTTCCTAAGGTGCTGTCAAGAAGAATTTCCCAAACAATCCAGGGCTTTTTTAGTTTTCGATCATTTTCATTATTCTCATGACCTTAATGTGTGATTCAGGGGTGATACTGTTTGGAGAAATTAGATGTTAGTCACTCTTAGAGGGTCAAAGGGTTAAACAACCAAAAACTCTAGCTATGTGGGTCCCAAAAAGTTGGCTACAGAGCAATTGTTACCCTGTTTTACCCTCACAGCATGAGACCCAGATGGTTTTCAGAATAAAGAACACAGGGAATTAAACATGCACACACATACACAAATGAAAGGATCAAAATTAACCCATCAATCCACCTTTCTCTATAACATAAAAAGTACAATAAGAACACTAGCAGCATGGCTGAATGGCAATTTCAAGGCCCCTGCATTTAACTTAGTAAATAAATTATGTGTATCAGTATATCTTTCAGATACAGAGATTGACTAAACGACTAGTAATAAAATGCATGACTGGTCCAGAACTAATATGGCCCATGTATTAAGCTTTAGTTTTGCCACTTGGGCATCTGAGATCAAATTTTCCCCAAGTATAAATGCATATGCAAAACAAAGAGGCTCTCCAGGCTACTGTACTGGATGAAACTATCCTCTAAAACAGTCTACACAACATCCTCAGATTAAATTGTGGGTTATTCCAAACTGATTATGAAGCTGTCCCAGAGCTACTGTAAATATATTTTTCTAATTTATCACTGCTGTGTAGATATTTTTATAGTTTAGATTTTTTCCTCAAGTTTGGTCTCACACTGCAATATGACCTAATAATAGTTCGAAAATAGCTGAGCATCTTAATTAATCCTGAAGACGAAACCTACCACAGAATAACCATACACAAGGATTTTTTTTTCAAGTCTGTCATGTTGTATCCTGCCTCCACCTAAACATTCAGTTTTCATTCTCATTTCTCCAATTTCCTCCTCTATTTTATCATAAATATCAGCTGAAAGGAAGATGTGGAACAAAATTATTAAAAATATTCAATGATGTAACACAGGCTTTTATACACCAGTCAGTCGCATCACTAACAACAATTAGGAGGAAAAGGGACAAAATAACAAATAAATAGCAAAATAAACATCACTTCACGTCCAAAATCCTGAGTTAAACATATATCGATTCAGACCATATGATCAACTGCATTTTCTGTGTAGTTTAACTCTTCATAATGCACCATGAAACCAACACTGCTTTAGTGATAAATTTCCTCAAGTTTATGAAACTTCAGTGGGCAGTAGTGGCTATGTCAGTGGGTATGAGTCAGTGTACGTTGGTCAGTACGAGTGGATATCAAACAGATGGGGCAACACTGTATTTTGTTGTTATAGAAACAAACAACGCTTTATTTTGTTGTTAAAGTCATTGCTCAAACATATTTGCTCAAACATATTTCAGCTCTGACCATAAGATCGATTTCTGTGTAATCTCTCAAATGGTGGGTAAAATTTCCGCACAGCCCCATACTATTGTAAAACAAATCTGTTTTCCCAATGGCAATCTATTGTTTTTGTCATCGATTTTTTTCTATCCAATAACTGAATGCATAATGTAGAATGGGGCTGTGCGGAAATTTTACCAAACATATTTCTATTCTGATCATCTTCCTCACTGGTGTTGTCGCAATCAGACATCGCTTTAGTGTCATATATTTCTCAACTTTATAACCTATTTATAGTCTGATATTTGTTTCTTCGAGAGACCTGACTTTTTATTTCAGGCGACATGACTAGAATTTCGGGCGACATGACTAGAATTTCGGGCGACATGACTCAGGTTCCGGGCAACACGACTTCAGACGTGATGACTTTCGGGCGATTTGATCAGTTTTCCTTTCATCGACTGTCATGAAGCGGCTTTCATAAAGAATGGGAAGATATGAAACACGTGAAGATCTGTCGACATGCTTACCATGGTAATTTGCCCAATCAAATCCTCTGACTATGCACTTGTAAGTATCCTCATTAGAAGGATCTATAACTTTGATAAGAACGTATTTAAAAAGTCCATTGGCATCAATCTCTACATCAGGAACACTTGATAATCCTAACGAGCCGCTCTCCGCCATGTTAGCTGTGCTAATACTTAAAGACTGGGGAAACCTTTGGTTCCAGGCTCTCCAGAGTTTGCCTCGGCCTACGGCAGAACACTCTATTCTCACCTCCCCTCCCTTCCGTTACACCACTTCTCCTTCAAGAAAATCTGATTAAACTAACTGACAACATAAAGTAAGAGACAGATAAAAAGGAATGAAGGAAAGACCGAAAAGTTTTTGAGGAGGAGGGGGTGGGGGGCTGGGTTCCAGAAGATCTCAGCAAGTAATAGCAACATTTGTACACTGATCTAATCACTTTAATTAATTTTCATTTTGCTTAAGTGTGTATTGAGTGTTTCTTTGTTGACCCAATAACCTAACTGTAAAGTTTCCCACCATTTACTTTGAATATTTGGAGAATAAAATTGACTCAGCAATGTGCAAAGTTTCAAAAACCTTTTTCAGGACAACACAAACAGGATTCCTGTAAGCGTTCACTTAAAACTGGTTAAAAGTGAACGCTTACAGGAATCCTGTTTGTGTTGTCCCGAAAAAGGTTTTTGAAATTTTGCACATTGCTGAGTCAATTTTATTCTCCAAATATTCATTAAAAAAATCTAGATCTACAGTCATCTTCATCAATTTGTTTGGTGCCATCAACAGACAAATGACAAACATTTATGAAAAAACAGGTATGGTTTTATTTGCTGGACTCATTATGTCTGAAAATTCTACAGCACCAGCCACAGCAGTCTTTGTAGTAAATGAGATTCATATACATTTTTCATGTACATGTAAATCATAAAATGAGTCACTCTGACAAGTTGGATGCAACCAAATTGCTTCAGCTTGTACATGCAGATCAAAACTTAGGAAATCAAGATTTATACATATGCGAATTATGGCAAGAATATTACAAAACTACTTCCTACATCTAAATTTCAGCTATTAAAACTGAGTCTATTCCCACAGTGTTGACACCACTGACTGCCTGTCATGCCAGGAAGACATGTTCCCTTGGTCAGCATCTTGTGGTGTTTCCTGAAAACTCTTTCTCAAGAATGGAATCTGAAAGTTTTCAGCATGAAGCCTTTGTTGTTGTTCACTGGTAAATGAACCCTCAGCTATTTGGACTGCGTCATCAATCAAGTCAAGAACCAAAGACTCCATGAAACACTGAATGTGCACATCTGAGTGTCCCTCAAAGGTCCAATCATGTTTCCTCATTGTGTGCAAAGTGACTGGAACACATTCAGTATTCTTAGTGCCAACATGTATCCACTGCTGGAAAGCAATCCATGTTTGTTTACGTTGCTCTTGGGTGTTCTCATCTCTCACCTGCAGTAAAACTGCAGAATTTAGTGTGTGGGTATACAACAACACTTGGAGACCTTTGGATGTGCTAGCAACTTCTACCTTGGAAGTTGGAGGTACTTGACCTTTCTTGAGACTGAGATGGCAACCCACCCATCCCTCCTGAGTTTCTGCCATAACTTCATTTCCTGTTGTCATGGAAACTGCAGATAAATTTCCATTCACATTTGCCACAATGTACTCACTTCCTGTGGCATCTATAGCATGAGAGATTCCAAAAGAGCAGGTACTTCCAGAAAGACATCTTTCATAATCATCTTTGTCCAGAGCAATGTGCATGTAATTCTTACTAACAGACACTGTTGGTTCAAGATTGATGATAACCAGAGAAACATGGGCTTCCTTTGGTTCTGCCACTGGAAACAGAAGCATGAACACAAGTCTGGTGCCTGCAAAGTTTTGTTTGGATAAGATGAACTTTGAACATGGAATTTGCAATGGCTTGTAAACCTTGGTGACATAAGATGCCAACTGACCTGACCTCCGATAATAAGTCACATGGTGGAAAGTTGATCCTGATTCAGGAACATTTTTTGGTGCAAATATTTTGGTAACCTTGTTGTCCTTCTCTTGAGTCTGCCATGGTTTTTCCAGACGAAGAGAATTGATGTAACTCTGTGTCTTTATACGATTTTGAACCATTTTCTGCCTAAAAAAATTTTAAAATTATTTAAACTTGGCATGCTCAAAAATTTGAATGATAATAACCAAAATGTCCTAATAAATTCATGCTAAGTAAATGAACATTTCTTCATTTTTCAGTAAAACATGGTGTACTTTTTCATTTTCACTCAGCCCACATCACCAATAGTGACTGTATTACAGGCAATCGCTATATTGTAGATAACATACAACATACAACATTTTATAGAAGTATTCAGTGGTATATCCAACAAATCACCTGTAATTTTTGGTGCACACACATGCCAGACATGTGTCTATATCAAGAGAGGGTCAATAACAATATCCACTGGATACCAGTAATTCTCTATCTGGTTGGATAGCACAGTATCATTTGTTAATATTTATCTGCTGGATAGCAATTCATCCATTGGATAGTGTTATCCATCCTTTGAACAAACAGGCTTAAAGTAAGAACTTCAACCTGAGACAGGAAACACTTTTACCTCAAATGATGGTGTTTATGCCTTGGACCTTTCACTTCATCTGTGAATTCTACTTTCTCCTGTGTTCCAAGAACAGGCTCGTATGTCATCTCCACCATGTTCAGCCTGTACTTAGTGCTGGGAACAAACCAGCCAAATCCAGTTAAGCATTCACTGGAGTATTCCCATAGGTTGATAAATCCTTTTTCATCAACAGTTACCATAGGTGAAATGTTGTTCACAAATGTTATAAGCACAATCTTGTGACAATGTTCTTTAAATAGTTCAGCATCAACATCTTTACCAATCTTATGTGTTATACCATTGGCTGGTTGAACCTGCGGAAAGGACATGATTGACACCATTTTGTTGAATCTAAGCTTCAAAATGTTCCCATTACTGAACCCCACCATCAAAAATGCTTGCCTTCCCAGAAGTGTTGCTGAAGGATGAAAAGCTACTGCTGTTACTTCACTTGATAAATCTCTGGAATCTGAAAATGGTCCTTTTGTGAACAGAAAGTCTCTTCGCTCTAGAGTCAACAATGGAATTAGAGCAGAAGGTTTAAAACCAATATTAACCTCCAAAGGCTCAAATGATTTCACTTCGTAAGGTATGGATATCGTGTTGCCAAGCGACCATAGTGTGATGGCACCATAATCATTTAGACTAACCACTTGTGAAGAGTCAAAACTCCAGTGAAGTTGAACAACAGCAGAGTTATTACCACGGCTGCTTCTCAATATGCGTGGTGGAAAGGTAGCTAAATCCCAGATCACAATGTCTCCTTGAACTGTTCCCAGAGCAATAAGGCTGTTATCAGGAGACAATGCAGTACAAGAGACACCTCTATAACGTCTTGGTAAAGGCAGTGTGCACAGGTCAACAGTGTTCCCCATCCAAAACTCTGATTCTTTATTTTGAAAGTCAACTTGCTCTGGAGGGAGATTAGCATCAGGTACATCACTGAAAGGTGTGATGTCATGAAAATGTAGCACAGTTCCATCAAAAGTATCTTCTTCTTCATCAACTATCACAGAAGTATCATTTACATTCTCATCTCTGTGAAATGATTGACTGTGAGACCAAACCTCTCTTTTCTTCAGGGCTTCCTTTTTGAACTGAGACAAAGCATTGTTCAGTAGGGAAATCTTTCTCTGATCAGCTGATTGAGAGCGAGGATCAAAAGAATCCAGTATAATTCTATCTAGCATGGTCCTAGTTTGAACCTCAAAAGCCACCAATTCAGCAGCTGTTTCCTTGGCAATCTGGTAAATGACATCTGTCAAAATGCCCTGTTCAATGTCGAGGCTCACCTGAAGAATTTCATCGTGTTTTCTTTCAACATCAAGTTCTTCGAAAAACCCTTCAGCAATACCTAGGGTATCATAGTCAGGTTTTACTCGTGGGCGTTCTGGAACGATAAAATCCAAAACCTCGTCGACCCATGATCGTACAAACTCACGAACGAAATAGAAATCCTCCAACTGCCAGGGTTCGTACGTACCGATTCCCATTTCTCCATCGTAAGGTTTTCTCAATAAATCAGTTCTAGCTTGGTTTTCCTTTCTAAGCGTTTGGACTTTTCTTTCAAACTCTGGAATTTTATTTTTCGTTTTCTTAATCTGTACACTCAATGTAGACGAACGCGTTGAGCTATTTCTTGAAGAGTTCGTATCTCTTGCACCAATTTCATTCTTCAGAGAAAGAAGTCTCTCCCTTTCACGAAGAATTTCTTCACGCTGTCTTTCAAGTTCAATTTTTCTTGCCAAGTGAGCTTCTTTCCTGCGGTCAGCTTCATCCATCTCTCTGGAAAAATTAATCAAACTTAGAGGAAACGGGAAAACTTCACACACTTGACTGCCTGCTTGACTACCCACTGTTGTTTTAGAACCCAGACCCCAACGACAAGCGTGTGAATCTCGCGTGTATCCTCGCTCGCGTGTAATCCTGATTCTCTTCCACGCCAATCGTCTTGCACAACAAGCCAATTTGTGAGTTTTCATTTTTCTCTGAGCTATCCCTCACCTGTAATGAGCACCATATAAAGTGCTGTATGAACATGAAAGCGAACTTCGCAGTATTGAACATTTCTTAAGCAGTAGTGAAAATAAGGCCTGAAAAAGAGTCAGGCCTGTACGGGATTTCAACCCATGAGAGGAGCCCATTATCCGGAGCTTCCATCTTTGATACTTACCCTCTGAGTCAACCCTGTCCCGTATCTTTTGACTTTTAGAAGCACCTCCCACGAGGTTTTTCGCGGGTGTTTATATAATAGCCAATCATAAAAGAGATGGGCTCCTGCCCAGTTCCTCGTATAGTTTTATTCTTCAGTATGTGAAAGAACTTTCATGAATGAGTGATTTTGGACATTACCCTAACGGTTTATTTATGCCGTGGGAAGAAATAGTCGGATTAAGTAAAATCAAATAAATCGAATATAACCCCGTTTTTCCTTTTTACGACGAATACGTCAAACTGGTTGTGTTGGTTAAACTAGTTGTGCACCGCTTTCTAATTTTTAAGTGGGAGAAACGTAAAAACGGTCTTAAACTGAACCACGATTACAAACTGAACCAGCCGAATCCTGAAAAATCTGCCATCTGACAAAAGGTAAACTGAATGAAATTTACCTTTAGACAACCTTCTTATTGAGACTGAATGGAGACCTCTTCTCTACCAGGAAGATACCAGCGACGACCAACTCGAAAGTATTTAGAAAAGGTCGGCTTTGGTGATTTGTTAAGAGTTCAAAACTTAGATGCTAACCACACAAAACGATAACCTAACAACTAACACAAAAATATCTCAACAAGCAAAGGAAATATGTACTTATTTGGAGGAAAGCATAACGACCAGCATAGTTTGTCTTCATTGTACCACTCGGCGTCTGCAACAAGAGTTTGAGCGTTTCCTTTTGGCACCTCTTTCTTTCTGTTCCACAATTAAAATTCCCAGGGAGGGCAGTCCCTCTCGCCTACTCTTAATTGATTAGGAGCAATCAGTACCGCAAAAATGATTACCTAGGAGGCAATTTCGAGACTGTTGGTCTCGTTAAGAAAAATTTCTAAAACAGAAAGCGACGATTTGTTTTGGTGAGGATTACAGAATTCAAGCTAACTGTTGAATCTGATCAAGAGAGGATGATATTTGAAGTGGTAAATATTTGTAGTAAGGTTATTCTTTCGAGCTGAATAAACGAAATTAATACTCAACCTAAATCTGCTGGTTCCAGTGGAGCACGATTTCAGTCAAGATCAAAGGTGAATCAGTACCCATCGTTGTAGGAGGAGGCAGAGAGGAAAGGGGGCGAGGGTCGAAAGCTGTAAAGAATAACTTAAGGCAGCAGCGAGATGATTGTACTCCTAAAAAGCACCCTGGTCGGTAATAGTGATTGACGCTTCGACAACTCTTAGGCACGTCATAGTCACAGCACAGACCCTGATTATCACTTCGGCTAATAAACGTTGTCGACAAGAATGCTTTTTTCGGACTGCTCCCACCCGGACGATCAGACCACAGGATGAAACATCTCGGTCTTACAGTGAGGCAAAAGGGAACTTATGAAGAGACGCTTTAAAGCGCGGACGGTAACCGGAAGAAGAATAAAACCAACCATGATGCACCTTAACACTAATATATCGATCACGAGGTCTTCGTTATCACATTTTAAACCAAACTGTTCCGACCAAAAAGGTGTATTAGGACCAGAATTAAGAACTTTAAACTTCCAGCCGCTGTCCGCCTCTCTAAGACGTTGATGCTTAAGCTCCCTATTGAGGGAAAGGGAGGGGGGGGGGGGTAATCCACTAATGAATTGGAAAAATTTCATTAAGGAAAAAAGATTTGACTATCATACTTATTTGAAAGGAAAAATCTCCTGGCTAACTTGATTTTTTGTTTTTTCCACTATGCTTCCAAACACAAGTACCTATTACTTACGGAACATATTGTAAGAGTGTTCTTTACAGTAACATTAGTCACGAAAGCGAGATTTACGTGCATAGTATGCAAGTTCCACGTCTTAACATATTACATGTAAATGGAATAAGTAACAATTTCTATTCGTTTGGTATTGACTACCAAATAAAGAATATCGATCACAATAAAAGTTTAAGTTTGAAAACTCGGCCGTTATTTCGTGGAAAATGCCACAAAAAAGTCAATTGACAAATGTCAACTCAACACTGAAGTCCTTGAAGTTTAAGAGGAAAAGTTAATTCTGTAAATGAAACCCCTGTTTTACGTAAAACCAATTTCTGCTCTGCGAAACAGAGATTACCGCGCTAACAACTCAAGCCTGGACTTTGGCTGTCTCTTACGAAGGAAAAGAAAGAATGCAGAAAATAAGAAACTTTACTAAATACATGACTTCGACTTTGGACTCTGCTGAATTTTGATTGATTCTGCTTCATGGCAGTAATCACTTGGAGTTGTCAAAAAGGTGAAAAATGGAGGACATGCCTGGTATCTCGTAGACTGAGATAGCGCGATGATATCTATTTCAAATTTGAACATGAAATATCAGTTAAGAATAAGAAATAACGCTACACCTTCTGAATTTGCATTAGCAGATGTTAATAAGTGATCATTCTTTGAAAAGAACGACATGCTTCAGCCTTGGTACACTGTTCTGATTATACAAAAGCTTGCTATTGATTCAGGAATAACTGATCGTTAACTAATTATCAAAACTAATCCTTTCATGTTGTATATACGGTATATGCTAAGATACATTGCTACCTCACAAAATATTTTTAAAGAATTATATACTTTTCTATAAGCAGAAAAATTAAAGACTAATCATTTACACTCATGAACAGCTCACCACAAAAAATGCATTTGTTGTAAGAGGTAGAAAAGCTAGTTTCTAAAAATATTTTAGACCTTTGGTTATAAGGGAAACAAAGTTTTCATAACCATTTCTGGATCCCTTGTAAGGAAAAGCATTCGCACTTTTACAGAGGAAGCAGAAGATACAGATTAGTTAGAGAAAATTCATTCAAATTACACGGTGCATTCATCCAATGCTACCCTTGTAATCACATGTATTTGATCCAATGAAACTTTGCTTTCAAAATGTTCAATTCTAAACATCATAGTTCTTGAAAGAAAAAAAAAATTTAATGAAGTACCTTCACTGCATACCATGTTGGCAAAAATAACAACAACTACTCTTTTGCTTTCATCCTCTGGAGTTGGATGGTGGAAATAATTCAAATTAACTTTTCATTTAAACTGAACAATATGTTCCCCCAACAAAAGTCAAACATTTTTTCTCTAAAGTATTATGACAATATATTTGTTCCAATATTATATATGAAAAGCCAATCTGCTCTTAAACTTTTCAGCTAAACATGCAATTAATGTGGAGTGAATTACTGCCACTTCAAATGGATAAGTCATCAATGTATAAATGACTTTAAAGCAAGTATTTTTTGCACATTTAGGATACATAAATAATATTACACCTGAATATTTATACACCCAGCAAAACTGGGATTTACCTCACAGTCAACATAAAGTAACTATTCTCACTAAGCTACCATCTAATGTACAAGATAACTGACATGATACCAGTATACATTAGAACTTTATAAATAGTATATTAATCAAAATATGTCATATCCTACAAAAATACACAGTCTTAAGTATAAACAATGGTTTTACATTTGTATCTATAACTAGAGATACCTTAAGTCACCAGAGCCTTTATATTAACATTATATCTTAGGAATCTAGTAACCCAATCAAATGACATGTGAATAATGCAATTATCAAGCCAATTTTAACTGTGAACCTGTCACAGACGATAGCACAGTAAAGTCGGTGCAGTCCCCGATTACCCAAAAATTGGAAAGATAACTCATGACTGGTTAACCCTGATTCAACCCACTCTTAACCATGTACATGCATTACACATCTTAACTGACTGTGAATGCACAGTACCTTGTGACTTCTCTCCCCCCCCTCCACACCCACCCTCTCACCTTAGAGTCCCCCCCCCCCACTGTTAATCCCTTGAGTAGGGCCTTTAGATGTTTATCCATTTGGTTCATTTCGAAATGGAAGATTTAGGAGAAAACTAACAGAATCAATTCAATATTTTATAATAATTTCATTGCTCCACTGTTTCCTCCTTAACAAACAGTTGATCTCTCTCTCTAACTTTCAATTTCTTCTGGGATATCCTCTAGGGGTTCAAGAAGATTGTTTTCTTCCAGTATCTGGTCAACATCATCACCTACAAAAAGAAAGACTCATGGTTAAAGAAAACTGACTGTTACAATAATTGGAATATGCTTCCCAAGATCCAAACTGATGCGTTAATCTGCAAACATCTAACCCCAGAGCTGATTGGCCTCACCTTTACCATGATTTCAACATAATGTATGATCAATTACTGATCAGGCCCAAACAATGAAAAAAATATTACTTATAAGTAAAATTATAAGATAACTTAATAAGGTTGACTATCTTCATTCTATCTGGTGGGGGAAAATATCAACTCACTTGAAAAATATGTTAAGAGGACATCTAAGACATCCTGTCTTTTCATTGCAACAAGTGCTAGAACAAGCTCCTCAAATGTCAAATCTGGCTCGCATCTCTCAATACTTTTAAACAGCAATTTAGTTGGGCTGTTGACATCTTCTGTGGGTTCAAAGATTTTACATTTTTCCTGAGGAATTTTCAGCTCCTTTGCAAGGTGTCTCCAATGGGGATGAGGAGGGTCTTCATTCAGCAGGTCTGTTATTTGATCAAGCAGCTCTGAGTCATCCAGAATATTTTTAACTAGCTCATCTCCTGAAAGACAAAGAAAGAATCTCCTTGTTGAAATATAAACAGCCAGTCCCCAAATAAGTTTTTTTTAAAATTTCCTTGTGACATAATGTTGAAACAGACAAAGATGTATCATTTAGTGAATAAAAAGCACCCACTGTTACAGACAAAGTATCTCAAAAATGAAAAATTAATTCTCAAAGCTCTTGTGATGTGCAAATTGCACCTAAAGATCCCTCTCCATAAATAGAAAACGACTCTTGTTCAAGTAACTATAATTACATGAGGTACCTACTACTCATAGTCATGATACTGCTGTTAGTAATAAACTAAATGTTCTTTAATTGACTGTAAAGAAAAGGAGGTTATCAAAGAAAACCTTAGAAAGGCAGAATTTAAACAGCATGAAAAGACAAGGCTGAGATTTTTCTTCATGTGACAAGTTGGACAACCTTGGAAAACAAGTACAAACTAAATGTAATCTGACATAGTTTGATGAATGAATGTAACCGAAGATTAATTAAAGATGCATTAAATGAAGATGCAGAAGATGCATTAAATCTGCAAACCAGTGTAGCTTCAAACTATGTCTGATTGTCCACCTGGTTGCCGTGTGAACTTTAATATATTTTGAATGTAATCTGCCCTGACTGCAAACATTACCAAAGATAAGTTTCCAGCCATGTAATAACACAAATTGAAATAATGAACAAACTTATATATGCTACCTGGAATTCCACCCTTGTCAAAGATTAGACCAACATCCTGTCTACCAATGGATATCAAGCAGTTTTTCAGATGTGCTAATGTCATCTCAGGATCAAATATGGGAATGTACTTTAACAACATTAAAGATGAATTATGCTTCTGGTGAGATCCAAGGTTTCGTAACACACGATGGGGTACATTCAGTTGTAGTGCCAGACCTTTCCAATCCTTTCTGCTTTTCATGTCGAGTTTCAGAGCCATATGACCAAGAATTCCTGTGTCATCTTTTTCAACAAGACTGGCAACTACACTTTCCTGACTGATGAGTCCAGCTGATTGAGAAATAAACATACTAAATAAGTTTATTAACAGAATCAGTCATGTATTCATTTTTAGTAAAGGAAAAAATTATTACAAATGAGAATAATGTTAAATTACTGGAAGAGGCTGGCAAAGCATTTATACATGATGCCTGATTCACCCTAGAGTGAATTTTACAGAAAGGTAAGGTGAAATGAGATTTGAAGTTTTCCTTTCAACATTTGTGACCTTTCAAATACTGTCTAAGGTGCATGTGACATAAATTTTTTTAAAAATTTATGCAAGAGACAGGATCAGGACTCTATTTTGGCCCTCTACCTCAAGGTATTTTCTGTGCCAATTGCTCTTTGCATTTCTAAGAAACAAATTCACTGAATTGATTGAAAAACCTGCAATTTTTCTGTCTAGATAATGAGCCACATCACATCTGCCAATTTCTTTCAGAGCCTCCTTAACATCATCAATAGTAAGTTGAGGTTTTGTTGCTGTTAGGAACACAAACAAGTCCTCAGTTGGACTTGTAGCTGAGAAGGTACCACAGTGTTCGTAGGCTTCTGGAGGTACACCCAATAATTTAGCCAGGTCTCTCCAACAAGGAACTTTCCCATATTGGTACTCTGTATCCAGACATTTACCGAGGTCTCCGAGAATAAGAGGATTGTTTGTGATGGTCTCAGTAAGGAGAGAATCTAAAATAAAAAAATTGATTGCAATATAATGTAACAATTTGGTGACACTTAAATTTGACAGCTATAACATTGACCCACAAAGCCTATTTTTGCATTGTCAGTACTTTCTGATTACAAGTCTGGCTGCCTCTTTAAGCAGGAAATATGATGCAAAAAATGGTTATTCTGATTTGCTTGCAAGGGAACAAAGTGGGTCCGTTTTCCAGCTTGGGATTGCCTTCTCGGCAACAGGGCAGTCATTAGATTTTACAGCACCAGTCTTCTTTGACCACTCAACATCAAAAAAAAAAAACAAATTTACAGCTTAACCCTTTGCACCTTACATGGGTATCCATATTCTCCATACATTCTCTTTACATTTCCTATGGTGCTGACAAGGAGAATTTGTTAACCTATCATGAACTTCTCTAGTTGGTGATCATTTCTCTTTATTCTCAAGACCTTGCTGTTTGATTCAGCAGTGATACTTTAAGGAGAAATAAGATGCCAATCACCCTTTGAAGTTAAAGGAATGACCTTGACAAGTCACATGACAGTCGTTATTGTAACAGAAATAAGCTCATCCATATCAACTGTAACAGGCAATGACAACCATTGGATACAGAGCTCTGTTGTAACTCACAAAGAATTTCTGATAAAAACCATATTGAAATAGTTTATTTTATTCTTATGACATTTCATTTAACTGAGTCCTTACATAGAGAAATCGATCAATAGTTGAAAGTCATTTTTAATTCAAGTCATTTACCTTCAACATCCACGTATCATTTGAACTTGAAATTAGACAGCTGGTGTGAGATAGAAGTTTTTGATTTGTAGGACAGTGTAAAAGCAAGGTGTATACAAGAAAAGAACTTCTCACCTGCATCAACTCTTTGCAAAACAGCAACTTCTCCTAAAGAGTTTTCCACAGATTCATCTTCACCCTCCTTTTGATCAAAATTGATGGATGGTTGTGGCGCAGCTTGCACACCCTGTCCATCTACTTTCTTCTCCATGGCAACCACATTTGAAGACAGAGTTTCTTCCTGAGAGTGCAGATCAACCTCTGTTTCTCTAATGTACCCTGGAGACTCCTCTTTTGACATTGTTTCTGAGAGTAATTCATGCTTATTGTTTTGATGACAATGATACTCATTTCCCTCTGCAATAACTGCTTCACCAGTCACACTGAAAAAGTCTTGCTGTGTTATAATTACCTGATTTTCATCCAAGCCTGGAGAAAATTTTTTTATTTCTATTTCAGATTGTTCATCAAGATCACTGCCAACAACAACTGTATTATCCTCTGGATCAGTTCCTTGAAGAGCCAAAGAGGCATCAAGATGATCACTGGGTGTACATGCATTCTCAGAATGTTTATCACCTCTACCTGCGTCTAACTGCACCACTTTAATGTCTTTGACATCAGTTCCTTTCATTACTTCTGATACCAGAGAATGTTCAGTGGAAGAATTTTCTTGATTGATGTTCTCAGCTTCATACTCTCTCAAATGACCACTATCCCTGGTTTCACTCATGACAAGATCAACTGGTGCAATGACCTGAGAGGAAATTTCACTTCTGTCAGGTGAATCACTCTTACTCTCAGATGAAACAGTGGAATCCTCATTATCAAGAGTTTCCACCTCTGTATCACTGATTTCCAAGTCTTGCCTCTCAATTGACTCAGTTTTAACCTTTATATCAAGAGGTATTGAGCCTTCCAAAGCAACATGGTCACTTTCTATATGGACATGTTCATTGGGATCTGAAGTTTCAAAGTGTTCCTGGTCTATCATAAAGCTTTCCTTGCTTTCTACTGAAGAATCAGTCATAGGTTCTTGAATATCAGATAGCTCTCCATTACACAAACCCTTGCTTTCAGCTGGTGACATTTCTGAAGGGCTGGTCTCTGGTAAGAAATATTCACTCTCTGTGATGATCTTATCAGAAGTATCCTCTTGTTGAGTGGTTCCTTTTTCTACAGGGATGACACCACCCACTTATTAAAGAAAAAAAAAGAGCAAATATGTACTAGAATCCTTCAAAAAATTTTTAAGATAATAAATTTCTACAAAAATCATATTGTTATATAATAACACAAGTTATTGCCTTGATTCATTAGGAATCAAGTTCTCACTGGTGTGTTGGTTCCCAAGGAATTATGTTTCACAGTAAGTTTTATTTTTCTAAATAATATCTCCTCACATTTTAGGGCAATGGTTCCAATAAATCAACTAGAGGACCATCAGTTATAATTACTACGACAATTCAAAAAATATCTTCAGATATTATGAATATGGTATAAAAACTGAGGATAAATAAGTGCTCTGAGATTGAACCAACTTCTTAGTAGTAAATATTTGAGACCTGAAGAATTTTGCTATCTTAAAGACAATTATATTAAAAAAAAATTACCTTGAATGACCGTCACTAAATTGTCATTGTCACTTGTAATAATCTCATTTCCATGGCAAGATACCACATTCACAATCCCCACAGCCTCTGCAGTTACATCAGCTCTTTTGGTTTCTTCAGTCCCAGAGAATGGTTTCTCTACTGAACTAAAATTTTTGCTTTCATCTAGATCTTTCACTTTACTGGACCCTTCCCTGAGAGTATCTTGACATTTTGATTCATCTTCTCCCTTGTCATTTGAGTGATCTAAAGGATTTGAAATAGTTCCAGTTTCCAGCTCCTCCATTTTCTTACTAACAGAAGCACTTGCTTGATCTTGTTGGAATACTTCCTCTGTCTTATTCGAGTCAAGGGCATCCACCTTGACAGGAATTGATGATTCAGTACCAGGTTTGAATGGTTCCAAGGAAGGTAATGATTCATTGTTATTACCATGTGATTCATATGATAAACCATGTGATGAAATCTCTGAGTCCTGACTGATTTCACCAACCAAGACTTCATTTCCAGCAATTTCATGCTCCAATTCCACATCTGCAGCATTCTTTTCTTCACTTGGTACAGCAGGATCACCATTTTGAATATTCTCTAGAGATAATCATAAAGATTTCGAGTAATCAGCAGGTAGAATTAAACATTTTATGAAATATTAATGAAGGGATCAAGTCTTAAAAGTGAGAGGCGTTTCTAAATTTTCATCAAATAGAAAAGAATTAGTAATATAACAATGCCAAATCACCGCATCAATATCAACGAGGTGGAAAAATTAAATAGAAGCGTAACCTGCGTAGTAGATTCTCGAATATCAAATCTCAGGCGTATGAAGCAATACAACTAATTTGGCGCATGTTTAATTGTTTAATGAACACGCAATTTTTGAAATTAATACTAGTATCAACATCAGAACAAAACCACCGGAAACATCACGAGATACCTGTACTTAATAGTTCAAATTGTTGGAGGGTGAAATATCAGCCATGAATTTGTAGGTTAGCGTGGCACGTGTGGCTATATAATTATTCAGACATGGTTTGATGCTACTCTGGTTTACAGATTTAATGAATGCAACCGAAGAAGTTACAATTCATAGACCCAATGTTTCGACACTACTGTCTAGTGCCTTCATCAGGGGACTTTAAATATAACTTTAATATATTATATCATTATTGTTTCATAGGATTGTCAAAATAAATTGATACGTGGGGTCACATCAACTTAATAATTGATGTTATGATAAACTTTCTACTTACCTATCATCGACGAGTCCGGCAAAAATACGGGAGACAAGAAACCGTCGGCAAATTCTAAAACACCAGCAAATTCACCCTTCCCAGTGAAAATTACGGCCCCAATTGGAAATGCCCCTTCATTAAATCCTATCGCTGATCCAGCAAAGTCCTGTATGCTGAAGAGTCTCGTCTGCGGCCCCCAAACAAGTTTAAAAGTTTGGGTCGAAAATGGAGAGTTTGTTGACTCATTAAATAGATCTCGGACGACGTGACAGTACAGGCCTTCGTCAAGAACAAGTTCTTGTCGAGATTTACTGAAGAAATCAGCGCATTCTAATGGACGATATGTTTGCAGACTCCCTTTCTTCACCATTTTCTTAAGAAACCCGCGCTTATCTAGTGGTTCAACAGAGATAAAACTAAGAGAGTGACCTCGATCAAGATCATTATCAAAGATGCATCCTGGAAGATCTTTGCAAACTTCGGCCATTTGCTTCAACTCAAAGGTTTCCAGCCCTCGTTTATCCTTATTTAAAAATTCGGCGATAAACATCTTGTCCGTCGCCAGGTCTTCCCGACTCAGCACGACACTTGGGGTAACAATAAAGTAATTGCATTTCCAACCCCACGAAGTTGCGAGTCTTTCACTATGTACAACACAACCGCTTCCCTTTAGTACAAGTCCCTGGTTCCCAGGAAGCTTTTCTTTGATTCGACAAACGGCAAACTCTGCTTTGTTCATACCTGTTGAGAGCCGAGCAAAGTTTGAGAGCAATTAACGACGCAATTAAAGATGTAAACAAACCACTGGTATTCTTCCCCACTGTTCGAGCACCTTCGTGGAAGCCATTTTTAATAATGCCCCTCCTTCTTACCCAGGCTTTTGCGATCAACATTTGTTGTTAGTCCTCTCACTTTCGCACCCCTCCCTAAACGTCATTGGCCTTGACAGAACCACTTGGCATATGTTTTTAAAAGAAATGTGTTGCTGTGTCGGTGGGGGGTATTACAAGCTCATTTGGTTTTATCAACTGAGTTGATAATGAAAATTGGCCACCGTTAAGAGTTTCTGAAGCTACTATTTCGAGCGTTAGCCCAACTTAAGGTAGTCTCTCGTAAACCACGGTCTGTGCGCACTTAGCGACCGGTCATTCTTTGTTGCCTGGTTAGCGGGAGTAAGGGGGAGGGGGGGGGGGTTGGAGGATTTTTGTTATGTCACTACTAAATTTACTTGATCTCCCCATAAGGCACAGTGATATTCTTATGATCCCCTCATTGGCAGGTAA